ACCTTTCTTGCCTTCCTTGATGCAAAATCATCAATAATCTCATAAGAAATCTGCTCCCCTATGGACCCATTAAGACCTGAACCCTGTCTGAGCCGCGCCTCTGAAATCCTGAGGGCCGTTTTGAGAAGGGACCCCAGATCCTGAGATTTTCTGAACTGTTGAAGTTAACAAAAAAGCTGATAGATAGATAGATAGATAGATAGATAGATAGATAGATAGATAGATAGATACAAAAGTATTTGAGAGCTTATAGGTGTGGCTTTCAAGAAAGCTATTTATTATTTTTCTGAACCTTCATCACATTATTGAAAACCTTGAATAAACAAACTTAAATGAAATAAAGCGGCTGTATAAATAAAAGTAAAGACTCTGCACTGGAGAATAACAAACTATTTGTTTTCTGTAAATCAAGTGGCAATCAGGATAAAGTGTCCATTCAATACAAATGTAAATATAAAAAATAAAGTGTTGAAAGGGTATACAGCTGCCCTAGTATAGTGCCAGTACAAGACCAGCACTTGAAACTAGAAAAATGAATAAATAAATACGTGGCTGACAGTGTGTTCATGTCTGTGCTCACCCAAAGTCATGCAACACTCACAGAAAATGACGATAGTGTGAGCCAAAGACCTCCATATGAAGAGGTTGTTCACACTGCTGGATGTTTTTCCTCCGAAGCTTCTCTCTGCCTCCGTTGTTGTTTACTTTACTCTTGAAGCACGTAGCAAGATCCGAGCACTTTATTCGCCTATCAGAGGCAGACGGTATGATGATTTGATTCGCCATGATTTCAGAAATGATTAAAAAACTACAGAATGTCACAAAATGACATATCCGTGCTCCTGGCTTGAAGGGTAGAAATGCGCAGCCATGAATCGGTGAGCTTTCAACGCACTTTCTACGCCACCGGCGAGCACGAAAATGTCACTGCGGCAGCTGATTCTGTCGACACCTCCCTCTGCCACGCCACCATGCCTAGCTTGGTGGACCTCGGTGCGCCTCGGTCCACGAAAATACCAAACTGGCTGTATGCCTGGCTCCGTCAGAACGAAAATACCACTGCGCAGTGTCCGACACCCTCTTCCGCCTCACTGGCGGACATGAAAATAGAGCCCATGGAGTTAGCTGAATGTTATATCCCCCATATCAAGCTTTGAAACTCAAAAAAAATTTAAAAAAGCTTACTGTGAAGTCGTTTTAGGGATCATATCTCCCATCAAATATGTTTGAAAAAGGCTGTATATGCTAAAAATGTAAATACTTCATATAACATTTTCAGGATCTTTTACTTTTAGAGGCAGTATGACTGTCACCAAATTTTGTAGTGCATAAGTCTTTTCCTCAGTTTTGATTAAAGCTAAACAGACTTTCTATTCAAAAGAAGAAAATCTAATCTCAGAGTTACCATGTTCTAGAGAAATGGATGGAATTCGCTAACAAGTTCATGCTACAGATATTAGATTTTAGGAGGCTTGTCAGTCTGTATTGAGTTCATTGTGGGCTCTGTTTGTTTCCTCCTGCATCCCATAAAAAGATGACCTCATGGATCAGAGAGTTCAGCAGAGAGGCAGACAGAAGTGCAGCAAGTACATCCTTTAAAAAAAACAAACAAAAAAACCTCTCATTACTTTCAGGATCATCCCCTCCCAGCATGCACTGGGTAGAAGGAGGGGGAACACCCTGAGCAGGTCAGCAGTGCATCCCAGATCTAACACAAACACTCATATTCACACTCACATCTACACAGAGGGGCGTTTCAGAGTTTGCAGGTCAGCTGAGAAAACTGCAGCAGGTAGAGGATGAAGACACAACATGCATGAATAAAAATGAACTCATTTTAGAGACACATCCTCCAGGTGGAGACTCCTCCACCCAGACTGTCCTCTGCATTATGCAGATGACTCTCTCTGGGTGTAGATCTAAACATCTGCCCTGTCTGTTAGAATGAACAGAGCTGTGTGCAGCTGCTGTAAACTTAAATAATTATGTGTGCACCAAAAACAGACAACGTGCATGTGTGAGTTAGCTGACAGGTGACCTTGGGATCCTCCGTGTCCGCACTGATTTATCTGTGAGCGTTTTCATCTTGTTTTTTTTTTTTTTTTTACAATAGCTTACACACACGTACATGGAGAGGAGGATCATGGTGCCTAATCTTTTGCCATGGTACATGACATCATTGTGTCCTCTGCAGCTGCGTGAACCAGAAAGTCATTAAATATCTGCAGAAAAATATTCTTACAGTTATGGAGGAGGATGTTTCTCCTCAAGAGGATCATACATTTTTGGAGTTTTTTGCTGTGGAAAGAAGGAGAGTGGGAAAATATGACAAAGGATGACAACTCATGTTGCACTTTTTGTAACACAGCATTTAAGCTTAACCTTTTTCACAAAGCTGCTGAGGATTTTGCCTCTCTTTTTGTAGGTTGATGTAATCCTCAGGGCTGCGCCAAACTCAGGATTTTGGCTTTACCTTTTTTTTTTTGGTTTGTTTTCTTTATTTTTTTTTTCTGAATTTAAAGATTTGACCACTCACATTAGTCCTGTATTATAGTTTAACTCCACCACAAACTTCAATCTCAGCCAATCACCCTTGAAACACATGTGCACATTAAAGCATTTATTCTTATAGAGCTGCAACATACATAGTTTGAAAATAATTGTAATGACTGCATGTCTAATAGTCACATTGCAGGATGTGCAATGTGAGTCATATGACCACAAAGATGTCTCGCTTGCATTGCTTCCTCGTTGTTTAGGATCAATCTATGATAGATGTCTATGTGAACTGATTTTAATGAACCCCCTCATCATAACAGGGAAACTGACTGCAGTGAGTGTATCTATCACATGACTATTGAGTTTAAACATGCATGCACACTGCAATGCCACTACCATCAAAAATACCCAGAAACCTTTGACAAGGCAGATTACACAGTGTTGTTCTGTCCATCGCAGTGATTGTTAATGCTCTTAAAAACTAAATCCGTCATATCTCTTATATTGGACTTATTGATGTCCAGCTCTTAGACTAAGTTCAACATGTCTGGTTGAGTGCTGCACCAGTATTTCTCACCATGAGAAGAAAATGAGATCACAGATGGGGTTTGCAAAGATAGAGAAAGACCACAAACTCAGGCATGTTCAGTAAGTTCGTAGGCTGAAATAAAAAGGTGAGTGTGTGAGCTCACCTGAAAAAGGTCGGCCTGTGAGAAGCTGCTGCTAGACTGTCGAGAGAACATATTTTACATACACAGCATGTGGTACAATTGCAGCTTTGGTCATGTGTGACTCAGGATGCTGCAATGTTGGGAAAGCATGAGCAGCAGGTTTGATAGTGAGGAGGAGGTGGGCCTACAGATTCTGGTTTTTGACTCTGCGTCTGCAGCCTCTCTGTCTGTCACATATCCAGGAAACAGCCTCGACTTTTTGGCTGCCTGCATTTACAAATGTAGCTGTCAGAAACCTTCCTCTAATCTTCTTCCACATTTCAAATTCACCGTGCTTTCTTGTCTTTGCTGCTGTGCTGAAATGTAAAAACAGAAACAAGGAGAGATGTGAGATTTTTTACATATACAGAAATACAAACTGCAAAAAAAATCAAAACTAAGCAGATGTTTTTGTCTTATTTTGAAGACAATATTGACTTGTTATGGACCACATTCATCCTAGATGTCCAGTCAGATACATCATTTTATTTATTACATTCAGAAATACCTGAATTACTTAAAAGGACACTGGGGAAGGAAACATTTAATTGTGAAGTTTCTTGATTTGAGACTTTTCTTTTTTTATATTGACTCTTTTGAAAAAAACTTTCCGAGGACACTTTCCCAATGCAATGGTAGATTTTATTCACTCCTGACATGCATTTCAGGTACTATTTTGCTTGTATCATCTCAAAACAAGGCATTTGTCTGGACTTGTTAGTTAGTTGACATTAAGTCTATTAAGGCTTTTTTTTACTCCTATAAGTTAAAAACACATGCTTAGTTTATGTAGTTTTGGACTGACTAAGTGCCTCATCATAGAGTCCTCATAAATCTGCAACACAGTCTCACTCCCAGCGCATTAAAAAACGACGCTTGGTGGGGACCCTTTTGCGTCGTGTCCTGGCGCACAGGGTGCCTCTCGGCGTCGCTTGCTGACGCAGAGGGGCTCTCCATTAAAACCAAAGCAGACCCCACTGCGTTGATTTCTGATGCTGGGGGGCAAACCCACTCTCGACGCTCAGAGTGAGCAACCCTGCCATCCTTTCACTGCACCAAATCTCATATTAAATAAACAAAACAAAACAAAACATAAATGAAAAGTGGTTCAGCCGAAAGGATTCCATAAAGTTGTAACCTGGTAATTCCATAATCTTCGATATTCGACTCGAGGGGCGCTATTCAACACTCACGGCGATAAGTGACGATCAGAGCCGAGGGTGCAGTCGTCAGCTGTTCTCTGTATTAATTGAACTTTTTGAAATGACAACCAAAGTGACTGTATTTAACACAGCGACGTCATCACATCATTGGATTGATTGTATGACCATTGATAAGCGTTGTCCCTTTTAATTTCAACAAAAACAGATTTTTGTTCAGTGTTGGACATCCATGGGTACCACATTACCCACATTTCACAGAAATATGATGGCCACTTGCAGCCGCTCTCCCGACGTGTGTACGTCATGACACATAGCCCGCCAAGTTATGGTTTACAAGTAATATACACTTCAGTGTTAACAACTGTTCAATAATGGGAAAAAAAGAAAAGAAATTTCATGTAACCCCTAACCATAGACCCAACATTTGTATCACATGATCGGAGATCATACATGACACATAGATATGACATTAGATCACGTCATCCGGTATGTAAAAATAACAGCATAAACAGTTGGGTTTTTTTTATTCACAAAAACAGCTTTATCTGTTAAATATGTTTATATGTCTGTACCTGTGTGTTGCTGTGTCTGTCCATTTTTTCTCTGTCAGTGTTTCTGCTCACTTACAATGAGTGATTCAGAACTCGAGGATTTGTTGCGGAGTGTGGCTGACCTGTTGGATCAGAGAGACCTCAGCGATGACCTCAAGGCGGTTGAAGGCTTGCTAGGTGATGCACCGAAACTGAAAGCAGCAGTGCCAGGGGCCCCTTTACCAACGGTAAGGTGAACGAAGAGAGACACTGATGGGAACTTGAACCCAGGAAGACCACGATCAAGCAGGAACCCATCCACTCAGGGTCGGTATTGTTGTTACAGTGATATATTTAGAAAAAAATATATATACATATATTTGTTACTTATTAAATTCACTCCACCTTTTTGACCATGCTGGTTTCTCTCTAGATTAACCAAGGTGGCACATTGCTGGATTTCATTTGTGAGCATGTAGCACACAAGTGCAATGTAAAAGGGGCTTTTGAGTATTCTCTTCGGTCACTGGACTGATGTTGCACTGTCGATGGCCAACATTATATAGCAGCTTCAAACACCAGCCACAGAATACCTGTCAGGTGACCAAGCATCGACTATATTAGTAAATTGTAATAATGGACAAATAAACAAACAGTAATTGGCAATATATTAGTAAAGTTCAGCTGTCCATCCATGGAGATAAACATCTAATTCTGAAGTTGTGTTATTCCACCATGCTTTCCTGGTTGCTTTGGTGTTAACATACTTGTAGTGTTTGTAAAAGCCCATTTTAATAGCATTCTTTGTGTTCTTTTTTTGTTTTTAGATTCTCATACAGCTGGTTGCAATAAGACCAGTCCTTGCCCCGGCACTTCTGCTGAAACACAGTTCGAGGTGTTTTTTTTTTTTTTTTCCAGAGACTCTTGGTATTAGCCATTCATATAATTCTAAAAGTTTTCGCACAGTTATACACTTAGCCGTTAGTTTTGCCTCTGACATTTTTGTACCATTGCCTTTTCTTTTGTACTATTTTGTCAGAGGGCTTTCTACAAGAGCTCCAGCAGTCTCTTGGTGATGGAACAGGAGATGATATTGATCAACCACATCCTCTATAACCCTCATCAGACTGGGCCACACAAAAAAGCCAAGTTTCAGAGAGCTGGAGGGCAGAGAGACCACATCTGGTTAACATGGCAGTGGCAAAAGAAAGTGTGACCAACCATATCTGCCAACAGTGTGGGGAAAAACCGGCTGTTATTCGTTGTCGTGATTGTCGACTGCAGCCCTTTTTCTGTGCTGCATGTGATGTCGACATGCACACGAGACATCCCCTTCACAACAGAGATGCCAGTATTAAAGGGTTCTTCCAGCCATTGCCCCCATCAACTGTCATACAAAATGATGTCTTTTACCCGTTTGGTAAGTTCTGGTTTATGTGTATAAAATGTGGGCTGGACCTCTTTAACACGTCATGTCAGATTCATGTCTTTTGTGACATTAACGTTTCTTTCTTTCTTTCTCTGTCTGTTTATTTGTTTGTTCAGCCTGTCTTGTACCGGTGGAGATCCCAGGCCAAATTTGTCAGTGTCCATCAGATTCATTGACACTCAAAGAAGGAAAGGCTGTGGCTGTTATCACAATGGATGGTTAGAAATTTTTCTCTAATGTTTAATAATGTTTTTAAGTATTCTTAATGCATTCTGAACAGCTCAATGAATAGGTTTGTACTTTTAAAAGATGGCAGTGAGTAAAAAAAATATGCAAATTGGATATGAAAGTGTGTACTTTCTGTTTTTGTTTTTTGTTGTTTTAAGGACGTTATGATCTCAAAATGCCTGACCTGACCTGTGAAGCCTGCAATGCCACGTGGATTGCTGGAATTGATGACATCCTGTAAAGTGACTACTGGCCTTAAAGGCACAAATGTTTATTAAATGCTATGAAGCATGTCCTTCTGACATGAAAACAAGATAACGGAAGGTGATATAATAGTTAAGAGCCAGAAAACATGAAGTTGTTTGTTTCAGCTATACTTGAGAAATCCCATTCATGTAGGCAACAGTCAATAAACCTGATTCATATACATTAGATAAAGCAATAACTTAGTGACTCAAGTAGGTAAGAAAAGGTTTAAGCCTACCAAGCCATCACTTAATGGCGGGCATTCCAAGCTAGCTACTCAATTTAATGCAATAAGCCCTCAATTAGTGAAATGCTGCGATGTGAATATGTTACGGGCAAAGTTTCTTCAAAAGGTTTCACATTTGAGATAGAGACTGTTGTCAGCATTGGAATAATTCGTTGCAGCTCTTACAACTTACCTGAGTGTCGTGTAACTTCTACTGTCATCAAATCGATGATTTCCCTCCCCCCGTATCAACTACGTCTCCCACGATACATTGCAACTCCACCATCACTGACGTCCATCGTTGGCGGACTATGCGTCATGACGTTCAGACTTACACATGCTCGGCGGTTGTATTTCTGAGAATTGTGGGCAGTGTAGTACCGACGGATGTCAAACACTGAACAAAAATCTATTTTTATCGAAATTAAAAGGGACAACGCTTGTATCAATGGTTGTGCAATCAATCCAATGATGTGATGGCATCGCTATGTTAAATACAGCCGCTTTGGTTGTCATTTCAAAAAGTCAGATTTATACAGAAAACAGCTGACGACCGGACCCGCGGCGCTGAGTGTCACTTATCGCTGCGAGTGTTAAATAGTGCTCCTCGAGTCGAGTATCGAAGATCATGGAATTACCAGGTTACACTTTTATGGAATCCTTTCGGCTGAACCACTATTCATTTATGTTTTCTTTTATTTTGTTTTTTTTTAATATAAGATTTGGTGCTGTGAAAGGATGGCAGGGTTGCTCACTCCGCGCGTCACATGACGACAAGAGTGGATTTACCTCCCAGTGTCAGAAATCAACGCAGTGGGGTCTGCATTGGTTTTAATGGAGAGCCCTCTGTGTCAGCAAGCGATGCCGAGAGGCACCCTGTGCGCCAGGAAACGACGCAAAAGGGTCCCCACCAAGCGTCGGTTTTTGATGCACTGGGAGTGAGACTGTGTTGAAATCTGAAAAATTCTTTCGACATAAACTTACAGTTGCTTCCAGGTCCTCTCATTGTCCTGTGAACATTGCAACACACAGTGAAAGTAGTCTCAATCAAATGTCATTCATTGCTAACCAATGGCTACAGCGAAAACCTGAAAATGATGATATCCTGGAGGTCTACCGTGTTGTCAGATGGTAGCTGTCTGGCCCTGAGATTGCATCAGCTGCAAAGGCGATGACTAATGACCTCCAAACACTCCTTCAAATCCATCAGTGAACTGTGAATGTGGTTTGAATTTGAATCTCTATTAGATCCAGGCTCAGACCAAATGATCTCCTACTGGGTTTCATCATTTAAATGTGGAGAAATTTCAATATTGTTCTGATCTCTATATCTCTTAAAGTACAGAGAACAAGCTGTAACAACCATAGAGCAGTCAACACCACGGGATACTGCAGGACACCTGCTGTACAAATGCTTTGAAGAGAGTGAAAAATTATATTTCAATAGTTGATGAGAAGGGGTCAACAGGAGCTTATTCCTCAGCAGGAGGTGAGATTTTAACTGTCAGTCTATCAAAGAGACTCCCTAAAACACAGTCTTTCACCTGAATCAGCATCGAGTGTCAGTCACAGTGAAGCTGTTTCCTCAGGCCTACCGACAACTGTGTCTCCAGTGAAACCAAATCAAAAACTGACAAATCAACTCAACCCAGGAGCTTTTCTTGAAGTGAGCCAGACTTAAACAGCTGCTGAAAACAAAAGTCACAATTTGATTCATTTGAGGAGAATATTTTTGAGGGCGGGATGATTAACCTCCATGTCTGCAGATTTTTATTGCATCTAGGTATGTAAGTGATGCAGCTACAGAGACCGGCAACAGCAATGAAAAGAAACGTAAGTAAGGAAAAAAATCCTGAATGTCTCAGACACACTATTCAATACCAGAAAGCTGTTTGTTCTGTTTTCTCTTATTCATGACATTAAATTTACTGATAAACTAATAACTCAAGTGCAAAAGTGCTTGCCTAAATGTCTCTCAAATGAATTTAGTAAAATGCAAATATTGTGTTTGCAAGTACCATCAATACTTTTGCCAGGATCAGCACTATATAACTGCTCATATTTTCTGGTCTGATGCTCTGATGGTTAGCAGTCAAGCAAGTTTAGTTTGAAAATCCGGAGTCTGTGGTTGCAGCAGTGCCAGCAGTGAATTTATGCTGAGCATAAATGAATTGACACCTTCATAATTAATCCTAAACAAGTCTTAATCTGCAAGCTAACACAATCATTAGCTCCATATAATAGTCTTACAGTCACACAGTCTGAGCCTGTTGATTAAGCAGCAAAATAAATCATGAATCATTTGTTCAAATACTTTTCATTTAATGGTTAAATTGTCTCCCTTAACATGATATTTAGAAGAGCGCTGCAGTCATACTTGACATGCTGAAAGTGAAAGCCAGTCGCTTCAGGATGGAGAGAACAAACAAACATTCAGTCAAAGGATGGAGGTAGAGCTCTCAGTGGGTGAGGCTCCCGCTCTCTCTCTCTCCTGCAGTTGTCACCTGGAAGCTTTCTGTCAGCTCCCTCTCTCTGGAAGCAGAGATGAGAGGTGTGTAGAAAAATGGCCTCAGGCGCAGACCTCCACTAACGCTCAGCTCGACAACCCTGGCTGTTTCAGGGGAGCTCCTCATTGCGCTTCAAAAGCTTTCTACGAATGGGAACCAGGCTGGCTTCCCACCACAGGCTGCCTCCATAAAGACCTTTTCAGTCACTGGGCTTAGAATCAATATGAAAGGGTGGAACCACAAGCACACTTGGGATTAAGAGCAGGAAAAAAGTGGGATTTAAACTCCTCACTACCCTTTACAGCTGATATTAGGAGTCCAATGAAATTTGGAATAATATGAGACCTCAAGGGAGGCTGGAAAAGCCATGAGGGATCACACCAAAACCCGACAGAGAGCGAACATTTTGACAGAACAAAACGGATCTCTATGTGGGGAAGCGCTTTGAATATCTACTGAGCAGGATTTTAGCTGTCACACAACTACACTGCATAGATATTATAGTGGAATTAGCAGAGAGTTTTTAGTGTGTCTGTGTCATGTGTCTGTTTCAGTTTGTCATTTTTAATCTCATTTGAATTATCAGACAATTGAAGCTGAGCTGAATGGATAATTGGACTCAAATCTATGAGAGACAACAATGAAACAAATAGTCACTTTGTGGCTCGATAAAACAGTTGCCACTGTAGCGATGAGCAGCCTTCATATGAGGCCTAAAAACAGTAAAAATGCACAATGCTGCCTCCTCCATATGCTGAACAAATACACACACTGTACTATCCTGCAGTCAAAATTCTGAGTTTGAGTTTGTCCTATTAGGGTTACTGTAGTTACACAGCGCACTTCAGTTTGAGGTTTGTCCTGTTAAGGGGCGTTCAGACCAAGGTCGCGTCGCTTTG